AGGAGTTCCTCGGGGCAAAGCCCAGAGAGACATGTGCTGTTCACATGCTGAGGCCCTGGTGGTGTCCCCAGTCTGGGAACTGTCTGGGGCTCCAGAAAGGTTGTGGGGGACACAAGGGCTGATGCGAGGGGCCCACAGGGAGTCATGGAAGCTCCTCTCCCCCAAATGTGGCCACCTTGCAGGAGCCCCCTCTTGGCCTTGGGCAGGGGCTGCCGCTGGCTCTGAATGCCCAGGAAGGCAGCTGGGACCCCAAGAAGCCTTCGAGGCCCCAGGCCTGTGCTCCACGTCGCAGGGGCCTGGGAGTGCCGGTGGAGGCGGGGGGCCTCCGCGGGTTCCGAGCACATCGGTCAGTCCATACCCGGGGGCCCCCAGGAAGGCCAGGCTGGGGGCAGGGCCCTTTGAGCGGGCGCCCCTCCTCGCTCCCCACACTGTGGTGGGGACGGCTTGACCTTTACTTTCCTTACATGTTCATTTCAAAAAGGTTTTCCTGGTTCTGGCTCTGGAAAAAGTGTAAAAACATATACAGGGACCATACTGTTGCTGTCTTGGTCAGAGAGGAGGAAAGATTTCACAGTTGCTGAGAGAAAACACAGGCTGACATGTGGCTCATAAATCACTCCCTCGTTTATGCACTTGCGGGTGTGGGTCTACACGGTATTTTCCTTTTCTCAAGAAGAGAATTTAAGCCCTGGACTCCCCGGCAAGGCCCCCTCACACAGGGCCTTTCTCCTGCCTGCTGGAGCTGCTTTCACTCGGCTGCTCGCCCAGCAAAGCCAGATCCCCTTGTGCCCCTCCGTCGCGAGGGGCGAGGGCCTGGGCTCTGGGGGAGGTCTGCGCCGAAAGCTCGAGCAATCAGAGAGGAAAGTTGCTCCAAAGTGGGGGCCGGGGCTCCCCCACTGTCAGGGCAGTGCCAGGCACCTCGGGGGCACTGGGCAGCCGAGAGTGAATGCCGCGCAGCGCCCAGCTTGGCGAGAAGACGGACATCTGTCTTCAGCACGGTCTCCACGGGCGACCCGGATTCTCCCGCAGCCCCCGCTCCCCACCCGGCCGCTGGGCTATAAAATGAGCGCTAAATAAACTATCGATCAAATAACAAATATTTTTGACATCTATCATGTCTGTGCCAGTGGCTTAAGACCTAGAAAATGAATGGAGCTTTGGGAGGAGGCGCGGCCTCTGTTATGAAGGATGGCCAGGCCCGGCTGGCCTGCCCCGCGCTCCCTCCCGCGCTCCCCGCAGACCCTGTCCATCCATCACCGCGCGGCGCTGCGGCATCCTGCTGGACACAGCGCTCCGGGCTGTCCTCCCCGGGAAGGTGTTTGGTGCAAAGCCCAGGGAGACAGGGGTCACCCGCTGACCAGCCAGACGTACCACCCCCAGTCCTGGGGGTCGGTGGGGTGACAGGCATCATGATGCCCTCTTCTGGGGTCCCTTGGCGTTCGAATACAAAGACCCACACACAATACAAAGACCCTGAGAGGCAAAGCACAGACCTGGTGTCCAGAGTGGTCAGCTCTGCGGCCCCACCCACCCAGGCTCAAGTTTCGTGTCCGGGGGTCATGTCAGTTTCCCAGAGCTGCTCTAAGGAAGCACCACAAAATGGCAGCCAGAGCCACAGGAATTTAAGCTCTCACGGTTCAGGAGGGCAGTCTGTGGGTCCAGCTGTCCACAGGGCCTGCCAGCTCAGAGGCGCAGGCAGGGAGGCCCAGCTGCTCTTGGCTTGTGGCCGCCGTCATCCCCACGGCCCGCTCCTTCTCTGTGTATGTCCTCTCCTCTCCGTGGGGTTTAGGGTGTACCCTAAATCCAGGATGGTCTCATCTCAAGATCCTACATTAAGTCCCTCTGAAAAGATCCTAGTTCCAAACAAGGTCGTTGAGGCTCCAGGTGGATGTGAAATTTGGGGAACACTAGTCCATCCAGAGTCTTTAGGGTAGCAGATGGCTGTGAGAGGTTGTCCCTGGGTACCCCAGGCACCTCAGAGCCAGACACCCCGAAGGAGACACACCACTAGGAGCAAGAGAGCCCCATGCGCATCACCCCAGCAGGGATTGCAGCTCCAGGCTCTGCTCCCCCCGTGTGAGGCTCCCCCAGTGAGACTGTCCAGAGGCAGCAGGAAGGGCCTGCATTGCTTTAGGGGCCAGAGGGAGATCAGGCGCCTTGGAGTCCATCATCATCACCATCATCATCATCATCATCATCATCTATTTTTATTTTGTTTTTTTGGAGGGGTGTTTGTTTTGTTTCTTGAAAGGCATGCTGGAGTCAGGTTTGTGCAGGGGTTACCACGGCTGACAGGGGAGTGAATGTCCACGGAGCCAGGGGCCTCTGGGGAGACATAGGTCTTTTTCCTGCTGGGGCCTGGGGCCTGGTCTCAGCTGTCCCCAAATCCTGCTTTGGCTGGGAAGTGGGCTGCAGAATGGACCCCAGGAGAATCATAAACCCCAGGCAGGAATGAAACATGGTTTCAGACGCCGGGATTTGGATGGAATAACACAGAGGCCGGGAGATAAGGCCCTGCTCGGCCTGGCTGGTTGCGCTGGCGACGCCTGCAGACCAATTACTCTGAAGAACTGAACCAAGAAAGAGTCGTGATGCCCTGTCTGCCTGCTGCCTGCCCGCCTCCGCCCCGGTGGAGCCCCCGCTCACCCAAGACCCACGCAGAGCGAGGAGGGTGGGGTAAGGGGTGTGGAGGGCATCAGGAAGGGGCAAGGAAGCAAGTGTGGGGAGTTCTGGAAGTCTGGGACGTTCTGCCAGCTTCTCTCTACCTCCCCTGCATGGCCCCCAGCACCTCTCTGGTACGTGACAGTGACGATAGCCCCCTCGCTGGGCTCCCAGGACCCCCTCATATGCCCAAATGTTCTCTACCCAGAACCAGAGGCGCTTTTAAAAATCTGGGTGGGGTACAGTAATAATATGGGGCGGGGGGAGCCTCTGAAGCAAATAATGATGCAAACCAATGTGAATTCAGTAAAAAAAAAAAAGACAGAGAAAGACGAAATCCCCCCAACCCCCCTCCCACACCCAGGGGAGGGACAGGTGGAGACAGGCAGAGGCGGCGTGTGTCCGGCAGAGACTAGACGAGGAGGCGATCACAACTGACAGCAAGGAGGCCACGGCTTTCAATACACACTTGCCGCTGACTCTCTCCCACCCGCCCACCTCCCGCGCGAGGACGCCATGCACCCTGATATGTGCCCTGGTGTCCCTCCGCCCTCCTGGCTCTCCCTGCTTCGGGGGTGACATTAGCCCCTGCCGTATTCCCACTCTCCTTCAAAAGCCACACAGGCTCTCGAGACCAAAACAACCAACTTGGGCCAGACCTGAAGGGTCCTCGACACCCGGCTGAGGGCCTTTGAGGAAAGACAACGTCTCACCAAGGAGATAAGCGGTCCCCGCCCTCAGGGAGCAGCCTGGAGAGCCCCACTGGATTCCAGCCGCCTCGGGAACATCCCTGGCACCGCTTCCAGGGAGTCTCAAGGGGCCAGCACAAGGCCTGCCGCACCGAAGACACTTGATGAACATTTACGTAGCCTCCCCAACTCAGCTGCCCAAACGCCGCCGACATGTGGCTGATACGTGGCCAGCACATGACTGGTATGTGGCCAACACATGGCCGATACATGGCTGACACATGGCTGATACATGACTAATACATGACTGATAATATATGGCCAACACACGTCTAATACATGGCGGGCACGTGGCTAATGCACGGGTAACACACAGCCAATGCTGGGTTAACACATGGCTAACGCCTGGCTGCCAATACGTGACTGACACATGGCTAATGCATGCTAATGCATGGCTAATGCATGGCCATTACTCATGGCTCTTTACTGGGCACCCACGAGGACCACGTCTGTGGCGTGGGGGGCACCGCCCCACTGGCGGGGGAGAAACGGGTGACGTCTGCCTGGCCCTCTGTAAGCCCACATCTCGTTACAAAGACAAGATATGGCAAACATCACCGCTGATAAGGGTTAAACAGCCGTTCAATACAACAATGGGCGAGGCACTCCAGGCAGGCCGTGATTAATTACCCAGCCAATCTCCCGGCTGATAAATGTTTTAGGAACTCGGGGCACATGGCTGTTTTTCCACACCAGGAAGAACAACAGACACCAGGGGTGGCTGTGGGGGCCGGCTGTGGTCTGAAGGGGTCGTTGTCTGGGGAAGCCACAGTGCTGGGAGATGGGGGAGCGGTTTTGTTTCCAGGGGCACATCCCATCCTGGGCTGCCCTCGCCGGCCGCCCACACTGGGGTGTGCAGAGACCAGCAACTCCAGGGACCGAGGTGCAGGGAAAGCTTGATATTCATTCTCCTTGCAGCTGCTCAGGCCTCTTCACAACAAGCCAGCCATCTGAAATCTCTCTGGAAAGTGGAATTGCAATTTAGTGTTTGCCTGCTGTGGAGGCAGAGTGAGGACTCTGGCTTGGAGCCCTGAAGCAGCTGGGGAAGCTCTCCCTTGGCGAGGGGGTCCCCCATAATATCACAAAGACACGCCATGTCCATGGTTGTGATAAGGTTGACATGTGTTTGGGTGTTGCCCAAAATTCCAAGAGGCCGAGAAGTTTCTCTGAAGGCCTGGGAGCTCTGGATGGTGTCCGGCTGGAGTATCTATTAAAAAAACAGCCATGGCATCACCGCTAGGGCCGTAAATTGGTTCGTGGATGCCCAAGGCTTTATCTCATTAAATCGTGTCACTATCTGCACTCGGCGTCCAGGCTGCAGCTCTGGGCGCGAGGGTATCTGCCCGCTTAGCCGGGGGCGGCGAGGCGCTGCTCTCTGCAGACTTGGGGACAAGTGGAATCTCCAAAAGCAAACAAAACAGAAGGGTCCGCCTCTCCTGTCAGGGTGTCGCCGGTCAGGGTGCAGCTGCCCAGCCCAGGGGGCTGCTGGGCCGGCGGTTCCCAGCAGGGAGAAAGCAGATGGCAGGTGATGAACCCCAGGCTGTCTTCTGGCTGGTGATGTCATAGCCGGGGAGGGGCTTCCGGAACCCAAGAGGCCCAAAAGAAGGGTGCTGGGCCCCCGAGGTAGCCACATGCCCCTCCTCCCTCTCTCCCTCTCTCTCACCCCCTTCAATCCTAACCGACTTGAATCCTTCATGACAAATCCAACATGTGAAGATGAATTCTTGTCGCTGATGTAAATGGGGGAGGCCCCTCCCCCAGCTGTCCCCAAGGCTCCAGGCATCAGAGGGGAGCAATTCCAGGTAGGAGTCGGGGGCAGGCTGCCCCAGCCAGGCCCAGGTCTCCCCTGCACCCCTCACTGTGGGCAGGCCATTCAGCCCCCTCGCCTGTAAAATGGGTTTGCAACAAGAACGAAATCCACAAAGTTTCCTGCGGTGCCGGCCTGGGCGAGCGGCACACCAGGGCAGTGGCGTCGGCACCCCGGCCCCCCGCTCCCCCCTCCCCCCGCCCCAAGGTGCTGGCCACTGTTTTTCTCCTCAGAACACGCGCCCAGGGCGGGACAGTGAGGTGCTCCAGGAATCAGAGCAGGCCAAAGTGGAAGCGGTGGGGGCTGACGAGGAGGAAGAGCAGCAGCAGGAAGGGGGCGCAGGGGAAGAGGGAAGTAAGGACCGGGGGGAGCCAGAACGACAGTGCAAGGGAGTCTGGACAACCTCTAGCAATTTGGGCCCATTCTAGACGCTTCAACCAAGAAATTCACATCTTACCCCAAGCCTGAGCCATCCTCGAGCCGGGTGCCTGGAGGCCCCAGCCCGCTCAGATGAGAAAGTCCCCCAGAGCTTTGGGGCAAGGGCAGAGCCAGGCAGAGGGCAGGGCGCTTGGCCACCGGGTCAGGCCCCCCTGGTGTCCGCAGGGGGCCCGGCCAGCAACAGGGGCCTGAGCTCCCAGCCGGGAGCAGAGATCAGAAATCACCAATACCCAAGCCTTTTAAAGCCGCGGGTGGTCCCTGCGCTAATGGCATCATCTCTTTGTCTGTCCTCAGCGGCAACAAACTGATCTATAAAAGGTTTTAAAAGTGCTACAAATATCTCCTGCGGTCCCCCCAAGTCAAATGCATTGGGAAAATGGCTGATTGCATTGCTTCCTGCAAAGCTGGGTGTTGGTACGTGGTTGGTGGACTAAGCTCACTCCAGGGTCCTTGTGCCTCTTCCTCCCATCTTGGGGGGACCAGGGTGAGGCAGGCATCAGGGTGGGGCGGGCATCAAAGTGGCGGTGCGGACAGGGTAGCGTTGCCCGGCTGGATAGGGTGTGAGCTCAGCGCCTATGGATGTGGGTGATGACCTCAACTAGAGGCACGGAGGCAGTGCCTCTGCCTGCCTGTCTGTCTGTCTGTCTGTGGTCTGTCCCCACCCCCTGCCCTGTGGTCGTCTGGGAATCACCCATGATGCTTCTGAGCTGGGTGGTCTGGAGAAGCTTCCGTTTGGCCTCTGACCTCTTGTCCTGGCTGGCGAGACTGCCCTCTATGAGCCCATCTCCGGCCCACCCCCTCAAGGAGCGGCATTTTCCCCAGGACAGCGGGCATAGGCATGGGGTGGGAGAACTGGCAGGGCTCAGCTTGACAATGGGGGTTCAGCGTCGCGTCCATTTCCGCAACGCAGAGGGAAAGTGAGTCGCCTGGTTGCAGGCTGAGTCGGCTCAGCTGGTGCAGCTCGGTGCCCTCACACACGCGGTGAGGCTCCAGGATGACAAGTGCACGTGGCTAGTGGGCAAGCTTGCAGAGTGCACAGGAGGACAGCACACACACAGGCACACAAGCACACACACAAACATGTCCACCCGTACACATTCCTGCACACACCTGTACACAGCCACACTCCCACAGTCACACAGACTTGGGCACGCTCATTTATATACCCCACCACATGCACACACGTGCGTGCACACACACACACAGCCTTTTGTGCCTCACTGTCCTTCCTTCTAACCTTTCCTTCCTGATTAAACCTTGGAACGAGGCCGTCCTAGCCCAGGGCCTCCACACACCCACATGTGTGACGAAGTTGCTCCAAAGCTCTGTCCCTCACATCTCATCTAGAAGCCGTGGAGGCTATCCACGTCTGCTCCTTGGATTAAAGTCCATGCGATGAGCTTTGGGTTGGTATGGGGCCCAGGTCAGGGGCTCCACGCAGACCTCATGGGTAGGATAAGGGGAGGGTAGTCCCCACCAAGAAAAGTCAAGGTACCATTACCAGAGGGGGTAGACGCCAGGTGTCAGAATGCCCATCTTCCTCGGCAGCGGAAGCCTGGCCTTTAAAGCACCACATACAGGTTGACAAGGAAATTAAAGCAGAAATTTAAAACATTTCTGTTAACAAACAAAAACAAAGATACAAGCTATCTGAACATGCGGAATGCAGCAAAATGGTAACAAGAGGGGAGTTAATCACAATGCAAGCCCACATTAAGAAACAAGAAAAAACAAAATAAGCCATTTAAACTTGCCCCTAAAACAACTTGAAAAAGAAGAGCAAACAATTAGAAGGAAATAATAAAAATTAGAGCAGAAATAGTAACCCAAAAGGCAATATGAAAGATTTGTGAAAATAAGAGTCGGTTCTTTGAAAAGATAAACAAAACTGGCCAACCGTTAGCGAGGCTTACAAAAGAAGAGACAGAACCTTCATAAATAGAATTAGACAAGAAACAGGAGAAATGACAACAAACACAAAGGAGCATAAGAGTCGTGGTCTGATCACCTTGAGGAAATGGACACATTCTCAGAACACTACAGTTTATCAAGACCAAACCCGGGAGGGAACATTTGAAGAGACTGATGACGAATATGGAAATTGAAATGGTGATCTAAAAGTGCCCCCCCAAAAAACGCTCAGGATCAGGTACAGGTGAATTCTACCGAGTCTTCAGGGAAGAGTTTGCACCTGTTTCCCTGCGGCTTTTTCAAGGAGTTGAAGAGGAGCGGGGCTTCCTGGCACACCTGCGAGACCAGCATTCCCTCCCGCGAGACCAGACCAGGACCCCACGCAGAGGGAGGCCTGCAGACCAACAGCGCAGAGGACCGTGGGGGCAAAATTGTTGGCAAGACTCTAGGATGTCATTCACCACACATCAAAAGGTCATGCACCGTGACCTTGGGGTTTGTTGCCAGGACGCAGGGGTGTTTTAACGTGCCCGGATCCAGGATGTGGTGTCCTATAGTGTCAAGAGAAAGGGCGAAGACCATGTGATGGCGTTGGTAGATGGGGGGGCGTTTGACAAGATGCAGTGTCCCTTTATGCTAAAAACTCTTCCAGGAACTTGACATAACGCAGCCACGTGTTGCAAGCCCGCAGCCAATAGCAGGCTCAACGGTGAAGAACTGGAGGCTGTTCCTTCAGGACTGGGGACGAGGCAAGGGTGTCTGCACCACCACTTTAATTTGGTATTCCAGGTCTTGGCCAGAGCAATCAGACAACGGAAGTGAAGGGAATCAAGGTTGGGAAAGGAATGAAATTTTATTTGCAGGTGCTGTGATGGCACAGAGTCCCAAAGGCCCCCCCACCCCAAGGGCTACGAGAAACCGCGAGAGGCCGGGGAAGCGGAGGGTGGGCATCATCCTCAGGGGCCTGCTGCATTTTCACATGCAGATAGCAAGTGAGAAGGGGAACTGGGGGACGGGCCCGCTGCTGATCACATCGGAAAGAGCCGAAAGCCTAGGAGTGGATTTGGCAGGGCGGGCGGGAGACCGGTGCCCCGGAAGCTGGAAGACACCCCTAGAAGACTAAGACAGGGCAGAGGAGATGGGTGTTCACGGATGGGAAAGTTAAGAAAATGACCGTCCCACCGAGAAGAACGTAGAGATTGGTGCAAGTGCTGCCGAGACGTCACCTTGCCAGTGCTAGCCCACGCTGCAAGGTGACAGTGACGAGGACAGAGCGGCCAGGAGGGAAAGTGGCCTGGGGGCTGGGGGCAGAGTCGAGGGCCCGGGTGGAGCCGCGTGGTTTATGACGGGGACCATGTTTTTGGATTTCAATATCCACTTGCTTTTATTAACACGGTGGAGCGGAGCGGAGCCCTGACCAGCCGCGCTGGGCGAGCTGGGCCACTCTCGAGCGGCACAAAGGTGGGCTCTGGATGGGCTATACCCAACTATTAAACGTATGGAGGAGTGTGCGGGTGACACCCTCCCCGATGCGGAAGACAGAGGTGCCTTTGGGGATTTGACCCTAATGGCAAGGGAAACGAAAGCAAGAGCAAGCACTTGTGACTCCATCACAGTGCAAAGCTTTTTGCTCCGTGAGAGAAGGTACCAGCAGAGTAAGGAAGCCTAGCAAGTCACAGGTGACATGGGGGACACCCGAGGCACGCAAACACCATTCAATTTAACAAAAAACCCGCAACAACAGAATTAGAAAATGGGCAGCAGAGCTGAATAGACACTGGCTAGGGAGGCTGCACGGAGCCCACAGACACATGGGAGACGCAGGGAAGAGTTTGCACCTGTATCGGCATGTCTCATTAGGGAAACACGCTCAGAACCACAGCGGATGTTGTTGCATACCCGTGAGAAGAGCTGACGTCGAAAAGACAGCTCACAACCAGCGCTGGCTAGGGTGTGGGGGAGCAGGGGCCCTCATGCACTGTGGGTGGGGGTGCAGGCATTTTGGAAAGTGGTCCGGACCTCCCTTGCAAAGCTGAAAAGAGAATGCTGCCTGACCCTGCACTCACGCCCTTGGGCACCTGTCCAGGTATGAGGCCGTCGACGCCAGACTCACAGGCGCCTCCGTGTTCAATGCAGCATCACTCACAGCAGGCGGGAGAGGGGAGCAGCCCCGGTGCCCACTGACAGTGAGTGGAAGCGCAACAGAGACTCTTCAGCCATAAGGAAAGATGAAAGTTTGCCATTTGCAGCAAAATAAAGGGAACTCAGGGGGGCTATGCAAAACAAAATTAATCAGAGAGATAAGGACAGATGCTGGATGATTTCACTGAAGTGTGACATACAAGGAGACTAAGGAGAGAAATGGACATAACAAAATGAAAGCGAGTGGGTATTGAAATCCAAAAGGAGGTTACGGGGGGTGAAGAGGGTGGGACAGGGGAGAAGGGGGTTTTGTGAACAGTAGTGGGTGTTTCGTATCCAAAAAAAGTTACTCAAGAAAAAATATAGGACCACAGAGGGGAGAGAGGCGGCTGGATTGCGGGAGATGGGCTGGACTTGTGAGTAGGGGGGTGGTGCCAGGGACAGGAGACAGGGACAACCTGCACCCCACTTAGAGACCAGATTTCAAGGTGGGGCCTGTGGTAGTTGCTGGGGTAGTTGCTGGGGTTCTCTGGAGTGGCCTACTGCATCTTGCAAGGGGCTGGATTCCTCGGCCTGCCTTAAACCACACTAGCTGGGGACCCACGGACGTGCTCTCTCGCGCCTCTGGAGGGCAGAAGTGCAAAGGACGGGGCCTTGAGCTTGGGGGTGATGTTCTTGAGCACAAGGGGGCACGAGCAGGTTTGAGGGGAACACTGAGTGCCTCAGTGGTGGGACAGGTTCTCAGATGGTGATGGGGCTTCTGAGGAGGTGGAGCCTGAGTTGTGGGGTGCGGAGGCTGGAGTCGGGGGTGGGAGAGCGGTTTCCAAAGCTGTTCTGCCCAGGGGCCCGCTGGCCCCAGCCCGCCCCCGCGCCTGCCCTGGACTGTGGCCTTTAGGAGCCTCCCGTGTCCCTGCTCTGGGAATGCCCTGCAGGGGGGCAGGTGGGTCTGGGTTGACTCTGGCCGTGAGCTCCAGCCCTCCAGGGTGGAGCCCAAGGATCCGAGTGAGACTTTACGGAAAGCTTAGGCTTGGCAGGATTCCGGGGGGACCTCAGCGGGGGATGTGCTCGGCCCAGACCCCCAACGTCCCAGCTGCCGACGCTGTCCCCCAAAGCTCTGTCCTCCAGCTGCAAACTGGAGGGAAGCCTGGACAAAGTCATTGTTGCAGGGACTCTGGATGCCCGCGCAAATAAAACTGGACCTTCACCAGGGAGCGGCTTCTCCGACGCCCTGGTGTCTCCACAGCACAGAAGCTTCTATTACCAAGTGGGAAACTGTCCAGATTTTAACATACTACAGAGCTCGGTGCCGCTTGGGCAGCCCTGACTGCCCCGAAGGGGGTTTTTCCATATGTGTGCAGGGGCCATGAGCGGCCGCGCTGCGGCTGCTGTGATTAATATTTACCAGGGTGCCGCTGGCTGCTGCGGTGCCCGGTCGGTCAAAATGTCAGCTGTTCTCCACATCGTGATTTGCATGAAATCTGTGTAGACACAAGCTGTTCTGCAACTTAGGGGCCGTGCACACAGCTGGAGGGACCCCATCAAATGTCCAGAGAAGCTCACGCCACCGGGTCCCCCTGACCACCACGGGCCTCTGGCTCAGGAGCAGAATGCCCAGCCCGCAGCCGGCACTCAGGAAAGTTACTAGATGAAGAAGGAAAGGCGTGGGGCCTCTTCCCCCTTCTCTTTTCCCACAAAACTCTCTCATGGAACGCTCGGCCTCCCCAGGCGGGCCCCGATTGTCACCGGAGGCCTCAACGCCCAGTCAGAGCAGGGCCAGATCCAACAGGTGCTCAGCAGACACCTGGTGATGGGTGATGAACAGGGAGGAGACTCAGAAATTCCTCTCAAACCCACTCAGCAGGGGCTCTGGATGCAGGGAAGGAGGGGGCACTTCATTCATTCACTAGAGGGGGAGGTGGTACCCTAAAAGTGATGGGCTGCTGGTGCCAGGAGCAGGGACTCACCCCCGGCGCCCAGGACCCCGCAAGGCTAGCGTTGCCAGCATCGCCTCCGACGGGCAAGAAAACTGAGGCTCAGAAAGGTGGCGTCACCCACGCAAGGACGCACAGCTGAGCCGCAGGAGCAGCGGGCACTGCCGGGTCAGAAAGGCCCACCCCGCTGCTGGCGCAGAGCCTGGCGCTGAGAGGGTCTCCCACCCCCCGGAGCAGGGGAGTCTGCCCACCTCTGCCCTGGGGGCAGTAAACGGTCCCAGGGGTGCAGGGCACATTGACCAAACGTTCGATCGTGTCCCCACTGCTCTTGGGGGCACAGCCAGGGCCTCACCTGGCGGAGGTCTGCGTGCCCGCCCATGGCGCATGTGGCAGGGGGTCAGAGGGCGCATGGCCAGGAGCAAGGGGGCGAGGGGGGCAAGCGTGCGGGGAGAAGGTGACTTCCAAGGGGAGCAGCTCTCGGCAGATGACTCAGGCCAGCCCCAGCACGGCAGAGGAGCCAGGTGGGGGCCTTTGAAGAGAGGCAGGCTTGACGATGACCCCGCAGCCCAGGGGAGACCCCCCCACCTTCCGCGCGGGAGCTGCCACCTCATAGCTTCAGCGATCAGGCCCTGTCCCAGGCCCAGGGCTCACATGCTCTGGTGTGTGGGGTTATGGACATGGAGTGGCTTTGGGGACTCAGGAAAGGCCCTCCTCCCCCTCCCAAGTCAGCTCGGCTACCAGAGCTGCTCCCGGTGTCATCTCTGTCTCTGTCGTGCACAGGCCTCTCTACCTTTGGGGAGAAGAAGCACCTGCTCCTCCTTGTATCAGCTCCAGAGGCCACCCTGTCCCGCTAGGTGGTCTTAGGCCCCGGTTCTTTGCTCCCCCTAAGGCACACTGCACATAGCACCAGGTTCCCATGTCCCCACGAGACCGTGCGCTCCGGGGTCCAACACCCAACACTTGGGGAGTCCTCGTGGAAGGACAGGAGGTTTCCCCTCATGCCAACAAGGCAGTGCCGAGGTCCACAGAGTCAATCAAGGAGTGCTCCCTGGAGGAGGGGGTGTGGAGCCCAGGCCCATTCTCTGCCTCTATTGCCCAGCAAACTCTGTGACTCAGGCCAGTGCAGTGTCCAGCCCCAGCAGGCGGAGGCTTGGACATCCCTCCTCACCCCTTCATCAGAGCATTTGTGGGAGCACAAACCCCGGGGGTCTCAGCTGTGGGCTGAGGGCTTCCCAGTCCCTGTGCCAGGCGTGGGGGTGCCCTTCTAATCAGGGGTCCTGGTGGCAGGAGGTCCACCATGCCAGGGCACAAGCCCATCGGCTCCCACACACCCAAGACCAGGTGCGCATCTTGTCCCTCCTGTTAAGCGCACCCCATGCCCTTCGGAGGGCCGACGGGCTCGGACCGACCCGGGCGGATCTCGCTGCAAGACTCGCCCCCTGTTCTTTCCTGACTGCGTGTTTCAAACCTTCTCCTGAGAACAGTGGGGTCTCCCTCCAGGAAGCGCCCCCCTACCTTTCCCTTTGTCCCTCTCTTCCTCTTTCCTTTTCCCTTTTCTTCTAGGCCACGACCGGTGACCGCTCCTCGGAGGTGGGGAGGGGCGGCGGCCCTGGATGTCGTCAACCTGACTTCATCTCTGGGGCCGCGGGAAGCCAGCGCCACCCACACGGTGTCCCGTGTTCAGGCAATAGAGGAAAAGTGAAAAGAGCTTCCACCTCCGCCTCGCGCCCTCCGCGAGAGGGAGAGATGCTTCTGTCCCTCGCGTTCCCACAGTGAGATCATGTAAGTTTTTAAAACAACACAAACATTTACCTTGGCAGGCAGCCCGAGGAAAGAGCCTGCGTTACGGGCACGACGAGCGGCTGACAAAAGACAAGATGCCCTCCCGGAGGAAGCCGGGAACGTGGCGTCTCTGCAGAAAGTCTATTCAGGGGCTGCCAGAGTCAAGGCGCCGGCCCCGCGGGCCCCCTGCAGGAGGGCAGCACCCGCTAGCGACGCAGGGGGCTCTGGGGGGGTCTCTGGCCACCTCCAGCCTTAGGGCCCGCTCGGGCGGGTTTTGGCCAGGCCTTGGACTTGCGGGATGGTGCGGTACCCGCCCCTGAGAGGGCTCGTGGCCTGGGGCGGGGGCGCCAGCCCTGGAGGTGTGAGGTGCAGCACTGAGGCTTCTACTCCCCAGAGCGGGGAGGGAAAGCAGGAGGACGCCTGAGGCTGGGGTGAAGGGATGGCCGCAGCGAGGAGATGGGTGCGGGTCGGGGTGAGTTCCTGGGGAGCCTCCTGATATTTCAAGCAAAGACGCGGGAAGTTCTGGGAAAGGACACAGTCCCCACGTGGCTGGGAACCAGTCCTGCCGCTTGGACCCGGCGCCCATGGGCCTCTCGCCCTGCTGCGCCTCAGTGTCCACGGTGAAGACAGCCAAGGACAGTGCCTGGCCTGGGCTTGGGAGGCTGAGGAAGGCCAGTTCCAGCTGCTTCGCGGCTCAGCTCCAGGCCAGGCGTCTGCTCACGTGGGAAGGAGGCGGGAGCGGGCGGCAGGAGAGGCCCACTAGAGCGGCCCCCGAGGGCACACAGGCAGGGGCGCGGCATGACTCGAGGTGGTCCTCTGGACCACCAGGTCACCCCCTAGAAGCAGTGTCCCACCCAGCTGGCCCTCGGGGTGACAAAGTCACCCCTTCCTCTGCTGCCGTCCCCATGACACCTGCGTGCTTCTGCAGGTGCCTCTTCCTGCAGGGGGTTCACTTTACATCTCAGACCACGGGCAGGAGCGGGTGACAAGGGTTGGGCTTTGGGAAAAGCAGCTGACTCCCAGTGGGGAGGCAGGATTTGGGATGCTGGGAGCCCCGGTACCTGATGCTGGGTGCTGGGGTCGTGCCTTTAGCCCGGGAACTTTCCATCTGGGGTTCTGGATTTTCAAGGGGTCCGCAGTTGGGGTCCCTCTCATTGCAGTGGCGCCACAGAGGTGACGGCATTTCCGGGACCAGCAGCAGCCCCAGGGGTGGCCCCCCAGGGACGGGGACCTCTCCTGCATAGGCCCCCCCTGCAGAGAGGAAGTCGGGAACACCGTGGGAAATTGAGCCAGTGGGGTTGGATTACCTCCCAGACTGGGCCCACTGACCTTTCTCCCAAGAAAAAAGCTCCCAGCAAGCAAATCCAGGCCTTCACCCGCCACCCAAAATAGCTGGCACCTCCGGTCTAGGCCCCCACTTCCTGAGGAAGCTCCTCCTCGAGGCTGGGAACAATGGGGCATTGTGTGGCCCCGGGCCTCCCAGACAGGAAGCCAGCCAGGGCCGGCAGAGCATCCGACGGTGACCCCGCCACCCCGGGCCCACACGTGCGACCCCAGTGCCAGGTGTGGCCAGGCTTCCTTCAGCTGGAACGGGGCAAGGCAAGGGGGCAGGAAGTGCCAGAAGGCCAGCTCACCCCTGCTCGGCCAGGCTGCAGTGGGGGCGTGCATGGGCCACGAGCAAGTGACGGAATGGACGGGCAGACTGACAGGGAATCAGGCCAAACTCTCACTGACCCTGGCTGGGCCAGCCTGCACCCCCGGAAGTTTCCCCAGGACAATGGGCACAGTCCCAGGGCAGTAGTCCCATCCGAGCGTTTCTTCTGTGCCCAAGACAGTGTCTGGCGTGCAGCTCACCGCTCGTAACTTCCCAGGCCTCACCTCCCTGTTGCCTCCCTTCCTTGCTCGGGCCGCCCGCGTCCCCACGCCACTCCTCAAATGCACTGTGCACACCTCCTACACTTGCTGTTCCACCTCCTGGCATGCCCTTCCATTCCGGAGTCCCCTCCCCAAAGTGGCTCCTCTGAGCAACTTGTCTGCCCCTCGCTGTGCTTGGCCTCTGTCCCCTCATGTGGTGCCACCTGACACTTCTTGATGGTATCTGGGCACCGGCTGATTTCTGCTCTGGGAGGACAGGGACTTTGCTGACCTGCCTGTCACTAGAGCTGGGGTCTGCAACTAAGAGGTGCCCAGTTGTCTCCCGTTGAATGAATGGATTAGTGTCGGTGTGTGTGTGGCTGAGCAAGATAGTCCCACTGTAGAACTGGGAGTTCAAAGCGCCCGAGTGTAGGGAGCATCGGGCGAGGAGGTAGGGCCTTGTGAGCACACAGCAGAGACACCACCAAAGGACCAGGGCCGACTGGGAAGCCATGGAGATTCAACAGGACAGGGACAAAGGTAGCTGGTCAGGGAGCAATAGGACTGCAGACAGAAAAGGGGCTGACGGCAGTGCCAGCTAGTGCTCCTGGGGCTTCCTTAGAACCTCCCGGCCCCAGGCCCAGATGCAGACACTTGGAGCTGCTGCTGCGGGACGTCAAGTGAGACAGTTAACCTCTCTGATACTCACAGGATGATGGCAGCTACCATGCTGGGTGATGCCCTGAGGAGGTCCTGCCTCTGCTGTCAGTGCTCTGGAAATGCTAGTATTGGGTGAACCATAGGAAATCACAGTTTTATCAGATCAAGAAAGTCAAATATTACCATTTCCTATAGTTTAAAACAAGATGCCTTGTAAAAAATAAACAATAAAAATCAAGAATTAAGAGGCAAAACTGGCACATACAAAACTGCTAATGCCTTCATATTTCACAGCAGGAAATCGTAGAGAATTATAGGCTTTTGCATATTAAAAAAACAAGTTAAAAATGACTTCACTTAGGGCCTCCCTGGTGGCGCAGCGGTTGAGCGCTGGGCTGCGAAGCTGCCCACAGCCTCTGTAGTGCTAGTTGGATCCCCGGCTGCCGGTGAGGGTCTCATATGGCGCGCAGACCTCTCCTGCCGCCCGCTGCTCCCCTCAGCAGTGTCCTTCGGTCCTTCTGCCTGCTCTGCTCCCCGCTCTGGCTCTGGTGAATTCTCTCACCCTCCCGCGCTTCTGACTGTACCCAGTGCTGGTATAAATAAATAAATCGAAAAAAGACTTCACTTAATATTTTTCTTAATTTCACTTCTTACAAAAGGAAATTTAAATAAATTATCTTTTGATAAAGAAAAAATAAAATAAAATGCTTTGTAATACAAAAATGTTTCTAGGGCACAAAGATGAGCACCACAAAATCACATAACAAATTTTTAGCATGATGCAACTATTATTTACAATGAAAACTGTGGAAGTCTCTTTGCAATAAAGCCCAGAACTTGGTCCCCAAAGTTACGAAAGAGAGGAGTTTAGATACCCAAAAAGAGTTCCCAAGGGATGACAGTACTTTTTCAGACACAGAAATCAAGCTCTCACAGGTGCCTGAATTCGATCAGTTTCTTGGGATAGACTCACATCAACCAAATTCTCAGGAGGCTGATGTATAAACCACCAGGTCTCTTTATCCCCTTAATGAAACGACTGTGTCGTTCAGCCAGATTGGAACCTTGGGCTGGCTCCCCACTACTTGTGCTTACAGAACTCAAAAGAGCCTCCAAAGACAGAAGGGACCACGGAAGTCACAGAAACACCACCCAGGAGAGAGAAACACCAAGCAACTGCCCACTGAGCACCCAGAGGAATCTGATGAATGCTGTGAGTCACAGCGACAGGAACTACAGCTGGAGACTTAGCAACGCTCTCCCCTATCGTGTTGGCTGAATGTGAGCACATCCTTGTCCTCGGAGCCCTTCTTCTGTCTCTAGGTTCTGGGAAAGTAATGCCCTGTTAATGCTCTGGAGCTCCCAGACCCACCAGTGGGAGAGAGAATTGCAATCGGTGTGTGGCCGGGCATCTTCATTTGGAATGTGGGAGTCAGCAGGGAGAGTTCCGGGGCTCGCTGCAGACCTGGGCCAGCCTTTGCCCTCTGGCTTTCCCTCTGGCTCCCAGCAATAGGCTGGTGTCCCCGGGAAGGGGGTCTGGAGCAGGGTATGTCCAGGGGCAGGAACAAGCTGATAGCTGAGTGGCCTGCACACCCCCACCTGGGGCCCCAGCATGTCTGCAGGGAGGGGCCAGGGGGACAGAAGCTGGGAGCAAGTCTGCTTTGGCATGTCTCAGAGAAGCCACAGAGAACACCTCAAGCAAAATCTCCAGACCCACGTAGCCACAGGCCTTCCTCCTGCTGCCTTGGGGTCTCCGGTATCTATGAAAGGGAGCAGACGCAGAATGTAGGGCAGAGCATGGGGTTCTTGAGCCTTCTCCTTCCAACCCACCCTCCCTCCACCCGTGACCTGTGGGCTATGAGGGGAGCTGGAGATCCCCCAAGCTAAAGAAGACATGTCCTCACCCTCTTGGAGCTCTTGGGCAGGAGCTCCAGTCCAGACTAGTCCAGGTGTCAGGTGGCAAATCTGACAAGTTCAAGGGAGGCTGGGCAGAGGGTGCCGCCCCGGGTTAAGAGAGGGGACAGTGCACCCGGGGGAGAGAATGGCTGTGGAAGTGGCAGAAACAGCACGTGCAAAGGCCCTCAGGCAGGAGGGAATAAGGCGAGAGAAGACAGAGGATGTGATTTGTTCTTCAGTCGTCCCAGGTCATCAGAGAGAAGGGCCTGGAGGGCCTGGGGGAGAGCAGGCCATCCCAGATGAAGGATGATGTCAACGCCACCCCCCGCAGCCAGTCCTAGGAGACCAAGTTCCCTTCTGGGTTGTTTCCTTTCCAGCAACCACAGCAGTCCTGGGAGGGACTTTGACACCCCTGCTTGCCACGGGAATGGTGAGGATCAGAGAAGGTGTTTGCTTTGCCCAAGGCCACAGAGCCGGCTTGGAAGGGAGTAGGGACCTGAACCCAGGACAGACTGATGCCGCATCCCCATGTGGGTCTGGGGCATGGGTGAGGGCTTCCTGCCCCCCAGGGACCATCCCTGGGAGTGTCCTTGCCCTCTGCGGTCTGGGTGCCTGAAGAGTAGACCTCACCCAGCAGACACCCTGGGAGACGCAGCCGGGTGAGCGTGCGGGCACCACTCCGCTGGCGGGGGCAGCTCTCAGCAGCAGCGCAGGGCTCAGGTGAGGACCCTGTTGCCAAGAAGCGCTGCTCCAGCAGCACCATGGGTGCTTCCCCAGCTACACAGGGTGGGAGACTGAGCCTGGAGAGGGCTCGCTGCTAGAGGGCCTCCTGGGGGGAGAGGCCCAGAGGCTGCCGGACTCCCGGGCAGGGCTCAGGGCCCAGGGCGGCCAAGCCATCTGGGCCCAGACTCAAACACCTGGCCTGTGAGGGCAGGAAGCAGCCCACCCTGCCCCCGGGGGTTTCCCGCCGCCCACAGCAGCCAGATGGCCCGGGGGTGGGGGCTGAGGCAGAGAGGGGAGCCCGGAGCCCCTGCACAGATGCTTCTGTGGCACCGGGCACAGAGCGGCATTCCTGCCTCGGGGATTGGGCCTGTTTCTGGGAAGGAGAAGACACAGGCGCCCAGCACCCAGTGGCCCTCTGGCTGTATCGTTTCAGAGAAGCCCAAGGTTTAGAAAGAATCTGATTAAGCGTCTCCTCTGCAGGCTGCTTGCACGGAGGGGGGCGGCATATGGGACGTGGCTCACCCGTGAGCAGGTGACAGGGGCTCGTGACCCCGCTGGGTCTGCATCAGCCCACAAAGTGGGAGCACCATTATCCCCATTTTCAGATAAGGCAACTGAGGCTCACAAAGGAGAATATAGTCCCCAGGCTGCCAAGAAAATAAAAATGCATATGTGGTCGCCAGTCACCAAGGAGGGCCCCAAAGGTGCTCGCCTCTCGCTATTCATTCATCCCCAAATAGGACCTCCTGTGTCCACCAGACTGGCCTGAGTAGGGATTTGTGTGGCTTCTGAGGCCAGTCACAGGCGCTGTCCTCTCTGCCGCCAGGCAGGGAGCGCCCGAGCAGCTGCGTGAGGGGCACCACAAAGGCCACTCCTCCAGGCCCGGCGGACCCCCGGCGGACCCCCGGCGGACTGGGCAGCTGCCCCATGCGAGGCCCTAGGCCAGAACCACCTGCTGAGCCGCGCCCAAATTCACGACCCCCAAACTGCGGGGGAGAAGAAGCTTTACGTTTTAATCACGAAGCTTGGGGGCAATTTGTCACGCACAAGAGAAAACCTATACAAAAAACTACACATTGGGAAAAAACAGTTGCCAGGCACATAACTGAGAACCCGTGGCTGCGGAACGCAGCAAGAACGATCTCGGCCCAGGGATGAAAGACAAACAGCTGTAGGAAGACGGGCAAAAGGTTTGAACAGGCATTTTACAAAGAGCATCTGAGCAGCCGATAAATGCGTGAGAAGATACTAAACATGGCTGGTGGTTCAAGTCACGCCGCGGTTCACCTGCAGGTGGGCCCGCGAAGAGAGTCTCATGACACCGACTGGGGACGAGTCGGAGAACACCAGGACCCACGTGTATTGCAGCTGGGGGTGCACAATGGTGCAGGCGCCTTGCAAACAGTTTGGCAGTTTCCTACCAATGGCAGCACGTATTTATCACATGACCCAGGAATCCCACTGAAGGTAATTCCCCAAGAGAAATGAAAACTCGTGTTCGCACCCAAAACCCTGCACATGAACATTTATAGTGGCTCTATCTGTAATCGCCGAATCTGGAAACAACCAAAATGTTCCTCAAAAGACCAGGCCTGTCCCTCCAGCAGAGCCCTGCTCCTGGATAAAAGGAACCACTGCTGTGCGGGCCGAGCGCGAGGAGTGCGAGGCGCGTTCTGAGAAAGAAGCTGGACTGCAATGGCTGGTGTGGCTCCGTGGATGTGACATGCTGGAAAGGGCAGAAGACAGCCCCGGTGTTTCCGGGGGTCTTCTCTGGGGTCCCCCGCCCTGATTGCGGTAATGGGACAAGAGCGTCACAATTCCTGGAAATGCACACCTGGAGGGGGTGAGCTTGAAGTAGATTATGCCTCGATGGACTTGACCTCAGAAATGACCCCCTCAGAAGAAAATAGACAATGGCCTTGGGGACCGTGTCTGTGCCACCCCAAGGCTGAGGAGCCCAACCGTGTAATCAGAACTTCTGCGTGACCAAAGCGAGCCAGAAACTCGCAAACAAAAAGGCTGTGAGTCTGATCAAAAGCCAAGCGACACACTCACGTCGACATTAGGAGACTTATATTGTAGACAAAGACCTCATATCCCTAATATCTAAAGTGTTTCCACAAGTGAGGGGAGCGATTAAAATTGATAAAAGAAAGGGACAGCTCACTGAAGAGGACCTGGATAAATGGGTCCTAAACATACGGCGAGACGTGCACTCGCACTCACAGTAGAGGAACACAGATTAAAATGACGTCGGCTTGTTTGTTTTTACCTGTTGGATGGATTTAAAAAAACCAGGTTCCATCATCCGCTGCGTTGATCGGAAAAGCTGGCGTTCTCCCTCGCCCGTGGCCGGCGGGACTGAAACTTGGCACCGTCCCTAAGGGGGCGGAGGGGTGACAGCTGCAAGAATGACAAATTCATAATTTACTTCTGGAATTAGCAATGCTAAAACTTTTTTCCACAGAAGTACTTGCACGTACGTAAACCGGAGCCCGCGCAATTACTCGCTGAACCGTGTTTTATGATAAAATCGGGGGAAAATATTGCTCAGAGAGAGGGAGTGAGAGCAAGAGGGAGAGAAGGGTGGAACCTTCCCTTGTCAGTTCAGTGACTTTTCAGTTACCTCATCACCCCCCACCCTTAGAAAGCTCGGAAGTTGCTATTTGACACTTTGGGGGTCTCTCAAGAATCACACCAAGAATCAATAGTCAGAAACCTACGTTTTTAAACTTGATTTCCAAGTAAATCCTCTTAGAAGGAAAAAATGTAGTTTTGTTTACTACTACAGCCTATTTTACATGGCAATTTGTAAAATAATTGCAGTTAGATTAAGAATTCACTGACTACTCAGCTCAGTTTTAAAACATAGGGGGAAAAAATCCCCTCCCATTTGACAAGGATGCCAACATCACTCAACGGGTAAAGAATAGTCTTTTGGACAAAGGATGCTGGGACAACGGGAGAGACACATGGAATAGAATGACCCTGGGCCCGACCTCCACCTACAAAAATTAAATTTCCAGTGGATCAAAGATCTAAATGGAAGCACCCAAATGATCAAACTCCAGAAGAAAATACAGGTTGCAACATTCAGAACCTCGGTTTGGCAAAGAGTTCTTAGACATGGCACGAAACGGATGAGCATCAAAAAAAAAAAAAAAAAATTGGACTTTTTCAGAATTAAAAGCTTTTGTGTCTTAAAGGATACCACGTCTTGAAAGTGCAAAGATAACAGAGGATGGGAGAAAATGTTTGCCAGTCACATATATGGTGAGAAACTTGTGTCCAGAACATAAAATCAATGCTTACAACACAATAATGAAAAGACAAATAACCCAGGTTTTCAAAAAGGGCAAAGATATTTGTGACAACACAGAAGGAACTGGAGGGGATTGTGCTAATGAGGTAAATCAGACACCATGGGATTTCACTGTTTGTGGGGTGTGAGGAAAACAGGAAGAAACCGCTAGACTCGAAGCACAGAAGGATGGTTACTAGAGGGGGTGCGGGGCCCACTGGTGGGCAGTGGATAGCGACTGGACACTCGGAGGCAGGCCTGGGAAGAAAATGTAATTTTGGAACCAGATTGCGATAAAAAATAATAATAAAATGAAATGGAAATGGGTAAAGAACACGGATATGCATTTCTCTAAGGGAGATGGACGCGTGGCCACGAAAACGAGCCCGCACTCAGCAAGGAGCCGCTTGCTCACGCCCGCTCGGGCAACAGCACCGGAAAGTCCAACAACAGCAGGTGTTGGGGAGGACGTGGGTCAGCTGGAGGCCTCGCCTGCTGCTGGGACTTCAGAATGGTTCAGGTGCTTTGCAATCACTATGGCTGTTTCTCCAGTGATGAGTGTGGCCCCGCAGTGCCTAGTCCCGCAGAAACGAAGCTTGTGTCGACACAGAAGCGAGCATGTGGATGGCTACAGCTGCATTATTCACAATAATCAAAAGCAACCCACATTTCCATCAGCTGATGAGTGGATTAAAAAATGTGGTTTATCTAGACAGCGGCATATAACAGGTCCGCTGTGAAAAAGAATCCAGTGCTGACACAGACAGAGCATGAATGAATCTCAAAAACCACAGGGCTAAGTGAAAGAAGCCAGCCACACGGACGGGCAGCATGTGGGTCCACACACAGGGAAATCCAGAGCAGGGAAATCTATAGAGAGAAACACCAGGTTGGTGGCTATTTAGGGCTGGGTATGGGGGGGTCAGGGGATAGGGGGCTGACAGCTGAAGGTTAATGATGTGCTTTCTTTTCGAGGTGATGAAAATGTTTTTAAATTTACTGAATATACCAAAAACTATTGGATGATACATTTTAAATAGACTCGCCTGTGGACTTGGCCATAGCCCTCACGTGGTGTGGGTGTGAACGGAGAACGTCCAGAAAGACCCCACCTTCTGTACCTGGCAATGATCCATCGTGGCCCAAGCCCCCCTTTGGGTTCTTTCCACCTCCCCGAAGAGCCGTTCGAACTGCCATTACCCCCGGGGAGGACATACGGTGACGGGCTCTTCGGGGAAGAATTAGGGGATCTGATCATTTTTCCTCCTTGACAAGGAAGGACGGGGGACAGCTGGGAGATGCTGGCAGCTGTTAGGCTCTTTGAGGGAAAATGAAATCTTAATTACAACTCAGTTTCCTGTTAATGGCTGAAAGGAAGAACAGATTCCCTAAAGTGGGGTGTGAAAACTGTATTCCCCAGCAGCATTCCAAGGAAACTTATGAGCAATGCAAGCTCTCAGGCCTTCTCCCACACCTGCTGGCTCAGAACTAAGTCCACTGATGGGCAAGCTTGTTAATTCACCCAATCAACAAATCTGGTGCCTCCAAATACACCTGGAATTGCTGGAAGCCCAGGATCAAATACACAGGTGAACAAAGACAGTCCCCCAAAGCTGTGATTGTGACTTTATTTGGAAAAAGGGTCTTTGAAGACATAATGAAGTTCAGGATCTTAAGAGTATCATCTTGGGTTACTCAGCTATAGGTGTCCTTAAAAGAGACAGACGATGCAACTGCCATTAAAATTCTAATGTTATTCTTCAAGGAAATAGAACAAGAAAAGCACAATTTATATGGAACCATAAAAGACCCTAAATAGCTACAGCAACTGAGAAAAAAGAACAGCAAAGGCATGTTACCTGATTTTAAACAACATTACAAAGCAATGGTAATTTAAAAAGCATGGTATTTGAATAAAAATGTACACACAAATCAGTGGAACAAAACCAGAAGCCCAGAACTAAATCCACACATGGACCGATAATTTATAAGGGAGCCATGGAGAAAGGAACAATCTCTTCAATAAATGGTGCTGGGTAAACCTGACAGCCCCATGTGAAATCATGAAGTTGGATCACTAACTCCAGACACAAAAATAAATTCTAAATGGATGTAAGACTTGGATGCAAGACCTGAAACCACAAGATGCATAGAAGAAAACGCAGGTGACAGGTTTCCTGATGTCAGTGATAAGAGACATCTTTGGGAACCGACCCCACTGGCAAGAGAAATGAAAGCAAAAATAGACAATTAAATGAAGGCGATTTTACACAGCACGAGGGAATATTAGGTTCAAAATATTCTCAATCTTCTCAATACATACTTACACATCACACAACCAACAAGGGATCAATGTCCAAGGTATGCAAAGTACACGCCCAACTGAAAAATTCTGCCCAATTAAAGAACGGGCAGAAGATCTGAATAGACACTTTCATAGGGGGGGACAGACAGATGGTCCCCAGACGTATGAAAACACGCTCAGCAGCACCCCAAGCAGGGCAGCACGATGGGGGCTGCCTGAAGCCATCATCTCACACCTATGGGGATGGCTTCCGTCAAAACAATGCCAGACAAGCGTTGGCGAGGATGTGTGTGACGAGGTCCCTGTGCCCTGTCGGTGGGGATGTAAATCAGGGCGGGCATTTCGGAAAGCCTTGCTTTAGCAACTGAAAATTGGAGAACCATTCAAACCAGCCATCCTGGATCTCTCCACAGGACGGGACATCCCCAGCTCCAGAGAGTATCTCCCCGCGAGAGCTACGACGCTGGCCGGGGGAGCACCCAGCTGCAGGCCCGACGGAGCAGGGGTCGGGACGGGCCTGACTCAGCCTCCCGGGGCCACGCGGCCAGCGACACGCGGCGTAATGAACGGAACTGAGGGGGTGGCGTGAAGCGAGGTGAGCCAGCAAGAGAAAGGCAAATCATGGATGATTTCACATATTTGAGGAACATAAGAAAGTGAATAAACCAACAAAGCGAAATACAAATCAAGCGGTGGGCACGGGCCGCAGAGCTGAGAAGAGGGTCGGGGGAGGTGGAGGGAGGGGGCGCCGGCCCGGTGGGGTGTGTTTTGGTTTTGCTTTATTTTGTTTCTGTTTTTTACTTCCAAAAGACGTTTGATCACCATGGAAGCGTACCTTTCTATTTTTTATGAACAGACTTAACATTTTAAGCTCAGCTTTAAGCTTACAGAAAAGCTGAGCAGCAAGTAGAGGCGCTCTTGTGCAATCGCCATTTTTAACAACAAAGCGAGACGAAAGAGAAGACACAGAGACCACGGAAGACGGAGGCAGCGGCGGGGGGATGTGGCTGCAGCCGGGGAAAACTGAGCCCCAGAAGCCGGGAGAGGACGGACCCTTCCTGAGAGCCTTTGGAGCAAACCCAGTCCCCTGCCAACACCTGGTCAGGCTTCTAGCCTCCGGGACTGTGGAAGAATACATTTCTGTTATTTCAAGACACCCAATTTGTTACAGCATCGACAGAAAAGTAATATACGAGATGAAAAAGGGCCGTGACTTTATAGGGCTATGCTCTCGTGGGGCAGATGGACAAGAAGAGAGAAGGGCAGGGGTGCAGGGAAGGGGGAGAGAGAGCTGGGTGGGTGGGCGATGGCTGAAGGGGGACAGATGGTGGACGAATGGCGGATGGACGGATGGAGAGGGATGACAGCCAGACAGACAGGCACTAGCGAGGCGGCAGAGCTGAGTGATGTGCTAGAGAAACTGAAAAGGGGGTGCGGTGTTGAAAACTGGTGAGTCTGCCACTCAGACATAGGGAGGCTGTTCCCAGAGGCCTGCCTGAGCAGGTGTGCGGAGCGAGGAGGCTGGCCGAGCCACAGCGGCGCTGCCGAAGCAGAGAGTGGACCAGCGATCTGTTTCGGAGCAGGAGCTGCCGGCTGTGGAGAGGCCTGGGGCCCAGCAGCTGGCAGACAGTGCTGTTCACGGACGCAGGGAAACTGGGTGTATTCGTTATCTGCTGCTGCATAACAAAATCACCCCCAAACTCAGCAGAGCCGATGAATACATCTCTGGGGTGGGGGGCTGGGCTGGTGTTGGCTGGGCAGTGCTCAGCTGCAGGCTCCCGTGGGGAGGCCGTGTGAGGGCCCCTCTCACGAGGCCACAACACCAGCGCCCCAGCAGGCCTCTCCACAGAGCAGCTGACCAGGGGCATGAGACAGCGCACGAAGGAGGGCAGGATGGTTGTTCGCGACCTCATCTGGGCCGTGACCTCCCGTCATGCTTGTCGCTTTCAATTCCTGAGCAGAGTCACGAGGTCCCCCCAAGGGAAGGAGACACAGCGTGCGAACCCCAGGGCCGTGGGGAACCACTGTAGACCCCGCCTGCCCCTGGGGTGAGAAAAGCTTTCATTTAAGATAACGTCACTTCTAGGTGCTTCCGAGGGAGTAATAGGATCGCTTGGCTGACGGGGGAGACGCAGCTGCAAAAGGAATGAATGAATGAACGAATGAGCAACTGGGGGGATGAATAGGTAGAACTACAGGCAGTGGATGGTCCACTGCTGATGGGGCAACGGCCGTCCCACCAAGGTCATTTAAAAGACCCCCCCCCAGCAGGCCTCGTTCCACAGCCCGCCCTCCCCCTGCCCGCACAGACGGCTCATGGGAGCATGAGCTCAGAAGTGGGTTTCTGCCCAGCCAAATGGAAACCTGGGCTTCCATCCTGCTAGAGAGCCATGTCAGCGAGCTGGGGTCCGCAGAGGGGATCTTGGAGACCTGCTGAGGGATCTGGAGCTGCACCGGCCAAGCCATCAAGTCCAGGCCAACGAGCTTGAATTATGACAGAAGGATTAGAGCCGGTGGAAACTTGGAGCTCACCCACAGACGCTGGGACATTTGTTTTCTGTCTGCAGCCTCGTTTTCCAGCTGCACGGTACACTTAATCCAACATGAAGTATTGCATATTAGATTTTCTCCCTGATGATGGTCTTTCACTCTCCGGTGACCTCTGGACCCGGTGGGCACGCTCTGGTTGCTCTGCTGTGTGGGATGTGCCTGGCTGCGGCCGAGCCTCCTGGGCCTGCACCTCACTTTCTCCCAGGGCCCCGCATGGACGGCAGCTGCCATGAGAGGCAGGAGCCTGAAGCAGGCACGACCTGTCAGTGAAACAGGAGCCAGGCTCCGAACTGGGCCATGGGAGCGGGAACGCCGAGGATAATTGGTACTGTCAGGGCAAGACGGAGCCTTCTCCAGACTAGCTGGGCTACTGGGGGTGAAGATTCTAAGCTTCAAAAGAGCCTCCCGGACTCCAGGCTATTAAGTTATTACGGCTGATTACATGCAGCGGGGCCTCGCTGGCGGCCCCTGACTGGCAGCGCTCCTATGATTTTATGGGAACGGGCTGGGATGGGGAAGGCTGAGATCACCGAGAAAAGCAGCCCCGCCCGGCAGAGGCCAGATGAACGGGGATTTGAATTTTCATTCTGACCTCGTGGCAGACCCAGCTGCAATCCCTCACAATCTCCTGCTCCCAGCGGCCCTCTGCGCAGCTGACCCGGGTTCCTTGCAGGCTTCCCCTCCTCGCAGGGTGGGGGGCAGGGGCGGGGGAGGCAAAGTGAAGGTCAGGGGGCTGTTGAGGACCCAGCGTCTCCCTCGGCCCTAGCTGGCTGAGCCCCATGCATTACCTTCCAAATCCTCTGTCCAGAATACACAGAGGAGAGAGCAGAGCAGCCACGGAGCCCTAGACTCGTCACGTGAAGGCAGTTTCAGAGCTTATTCACATTGTGCGTTCACCCCGGAGTGCCCCGGGGTGACTTGTATTATGCCGCTATAACAGAGGGGCCCAAAATAATAGCGTCTTGGACAACACAGAAATTCATCTCTCTCCTACCAAGGTCTAGGGTCACAAGCCAAAGTTAGTGGGGCAGCTCCAGTCATCACAGACCCAATCCCTTTGACCTCATTTCTCTGTATCTCACATAGGGAGCTTCCCTCTCAAGATACAAAATGGCTGCTCAGATTCCTGCCATTACTTCTGCATTCCTGGAAGAGAGGGCTGATAGCCCTCTGAACTCAAGGTAGTCTGCAAAATTCACCTCCTCCAGGCAGACATCTGGGATTGATTATCCATTGGCCAACTGGTCAACCGCATCTCTGGCCCACCCTTCTGTCAACTCTGTCCTAGCCTTCTTAGCAGACTGTTTCCTGAGGCAGAGATCCCATCTCTTCTTTAGGGTGTAGCCAACCATTACCCCTAACCCCTGATCTTCCTCCCAGGCACTAAACACCCAGGCCTGAGTGCTCTGGTCGGTTTTTAGAAGAAAGCACACGCTGCTCTCAAGGTAGAGAGCTCTGTACTGGCAGGGCCCTTATCTGGCACCTGTTTCATCCCCAGAGCTCGGCACGTGCCTGAGCTACAGAGGCAATCATTTGATTGATCAGCAGTCAGTTGAATGAAGACCTTCTTGGCTAATCACAGTAATAACAAGAACCACTGTGCCTGGTGTTTACAGAGGCCTCCTGTGAGTGAAGCAAGCGGCAGACGGTAGGACAAGTAGGAATTAGCCAACATGTTCTGCCAAAAGCCAGGTAGCCAATATTTCTGGCTTTGTGGGCTGGGAGGTCTCTGTCAAAAATACTCTACTATAGTAGACATAGAAAATATGTAAATTAACAGCAGTGGTTGTGTGCCAATAAAACTTTATTTGCAGAAGTAGGTGCAAGCCAGCTCTGCCCTGGGCCTTGGTGTGCTAACGTCCTATCTAAAACAGAAAATACATGTCACGTGGGTGGAGATGGAGACCAGCAGCCCTTTGCAGAATGACCGTGTGGGTGCGTGGTCAACCAGGCAGGAGAAGGTGCCAGAAGACCTGATGCCAGGTCTGTGTGGACCCATTTTGGGGGTGCTCTCCTGCCCCGTCATACTTTCTCGAAACCACTGCCTCTCATGGCAGCAGAGCATGGGCGCACGGGACCCCAGCACTGGGGATTGACTGACCCAAGGCGCCTCGGGCACTGTGACACAGCCTCTCTGCTCCACCTCAGGTTGGGGACACACAGATGAGTGCCGCAGAGGCAGAGGAGGCTGACTGCAGAGAGCGCCAAGTGCCAGGGGACCCAGGACTCCCCAGAGGGCCTGCACCAGCTCCTGGGAGCCCCCTCCAGGGCTCCTCCCATTCCTCTCCTCTCCCAGAGGCCCCTCCCCTCAGGTGTGCCCCATGGGCCTTCGTTCTCCCTCCTTGGGGCTCAGGTGAGTGGCTGCTCCCCCCACTGCGGACTGCGACACCTCCTGGGGGAGCCACCACCCTCACTGTCCCCGCATCTCCTGCCTGGGCACCCACTCTTGTGGTTCAAGGGCTCATTTTTCTGGAGCGCTCAGGACATTACCCAGCTAAATGAAGAATGTGGAATACTTGAAATTTCCACTCACACACTCCTGGAAAAAACACATTAACCTTTAAGAAGGGAATAATGGCTGCGTTCTCAAGTGACCTTACGGATTAACCCTCCACAAGCACTTTCTGGGGAGGATGCGGGGCCCATGGCAGGGACCCAGTGGGTGCAAAAGACAAGGAGAACGCAAGCCAGAAGGCTCCCGGGCTGCCGCGGACGGGCAACAGTGAACTCCCCACTGCCGCGGACACTGGCCTGGCCTCGGTTGGCACCCAGGACCAAGCTGGACCTGCCGGGTGGGACCGCGCAGCAGCCGGTGCTTGGCCCGGGCCTCTGAGCCAGCTGCAGCTCCTCCTGCGGGCCAGAGGGGGCCCTTCCTCCTCAGTGTGCTCCCACGGGAAGAGCTCCCCCACTGCTCCCTGAACCCCATCCTGAAGCACGGGCCCCAAGCTTGACATGTTGGAGAAACCCTCCTCACCCACACTCCTTTGGGAGCAGAGAGCAGGGGGCGCCACGAAGACACCAAGTTCTGCCGCGGAGAAATCCCTGGCCTCGCTTAGAAACCAGGCCAGGCCCTGGAGAGCCCCCCCCACGAGAACCTGAGCTGCACAAAGGGCCAGTGCTCGGCGCCCTCCATGCGCCCAGTCCCTTGCCACGCCTGAGCCCCTGCCCCCACCGTCCTCCTCGGCCCCCCCCCATCACACGTCCAGCCACACAGGGGTCTGGGCCAGGTGCCTCTGGGGCACAGGTGAAGCCGAGCGCCGCCTGCTCCCACCAGGCTTGGCGGGGACCGGGGAAGACAGCAGCTCCCCCACGCCCGAGGCCCAGCTGCCAAAGATGCGTTTTGAAAATAATGAAGGGGCAGATCGCTTAAAAGTCTACCAGGAAGTGTAACCATCGAGGCAGCCATGATGCAGCTCGGGGAGAGAACTGGGAGGAGGGAGGGGAAAGTCTCTGTGGAAAGGGGAGCCTGGGTGGTCTCTGCGCGGTCAGGCCTGGGCTGCCAAGAGCCTGCTCGGGGGCACCAAGCTAAGCTGCCAGTACACCTGCGCCTTGTCTGTTGCAGACGTTGGGAAGGTGCTGCCCATGAGCCGGGGCTGGGAAACAAGGCGAAACTGACCTCCTGATGAGCTGGGGGGCCAGACTCACCCCCAAAACCCGCACGGGGGTGGGGGGTGTATGGCAGTGGGTGACTTTGTCCTCAAAGTCAAAAGGCTGTGAAAAGATGGAGCGGGGCCCTCGACCCCCAGGCCCCTGGTCTCTCTGTGAAACCAGGGCCAAAGGGACAAGTTTAACCCACAAGCAGGTTCATCAGAAAATCAGCGCCGTGGCCTGACAGGGTGGCGGCTCGTTCCCAGGCACCTTGCTGGAAGCGGGTGCCAGAGGCCTTGCGAAAGGGCACCACCCTATTTCATTCATCCACCCTTTGCTCTTTCATCCCCTCCATAGTCCGCGCAAGCCGACTGTGTGCCAGCGCTGGGCAGATGATGGGTCGACACTTTAGGCAGCAGCTACTGGAGGGACGGGGGAAGAGGCTGTGGCATCTACAGTCTCCAAAGGGCCTCTGAACGTGGGCATCCGGGCATCCCCGCCCAGGGAGACCAGCATCCTTCCGGTCATAGCAACTATAGCCGCTGGGGCACTGAGGCCCCCAGGACGTTGCCAGCCCAGTGGCACCCCCGATGCCACCCCAGGCCTGCTCTGAGTCTCCCCTCCACCCCAGCTGGGCCCTGAGTCCCACAGACGCTGAGGGCAGCTCAGCAGGCCCCTTCTGCCACCTCCAGCCGCATGAATGCCGCAGGCCCCAAAGGCCAATCGATTCTGCCCACAGCCCTCAGTCTAGCAACCCGGGCAGAACAGATTCCCCGCTGCCGGCTGCCCCAGAAACCTACTCTCCGGCCTCATAGCCTCACCTGGCATCTCTTTGCGAAAAGGATCACCCTTTTCTGTCCCAAGCTTGCACCCTTCTTGCTTTATTTCTCTCCCAGGGTTACTGGCAGAGAGGTCCCTGCCTCCATGCGGTGCCCTCCAAGGAGACGTGGCAGAGAGGGGTTTGTCCCAGGGCCTCTGCCCATGTGTCCTCCGTCCATTTGTCCCACAGATACCCTTGTTCCAGGCAGACGGATCCCTGCTCCGTGGAGCTTCCAGTGCTGCTGATGCCACTGGGGCAGCCACCCGGACCTCACCCAGCCCTGCGGCTCCCTCAGCATGAGCACACGCACGTGCAGGGGAGAAGGGCCGAGGCGGGGGCGCTGGCGGCTGTCCCAGCCGGGGCCGGCAAAGGGAGGCTCGATAGGTGAGTCCCTCTCTCATGTATGTTTCTCGACCTTCTGAATGAGACATGGGAACAGACAGGGGAGAGGGGGAGAGTGTCCCCCTGCTTTGTGGGGAGCTGAACACCACCTCTCCTTGTTCCTTGCCCTTCTGGAAGGGCAGAGAGGCAGGGAGCCTGGGAAGGAGGGGAGGGCCAGCGAGGGCGCCGTCCCACACAGGCTGACGGTGCTGCCGCGGGTCCTGGAGACAGCGTGGGCCCCGCAGAGCCAGGGAGGCCGGATTGACACCCACACCCTATCTCCAGTGGCTGGTCAAGGGTCGCCCCAGGGTGGGGAGGGTCAGCACTGGGGGAAGTGGGCTCTGGGAGCCCCAGGGCAGAGAGCAGGCCTGCAGGAGCCTGGGGCGGCGGGGAGAGGCTCTGAGAGGGGGCGGGCATGTTCAGGCCGCGCAGACCCTGCAGGTGACGTCTGACCGCGCTGGATCCAGGCTCAGAACAGATGCCTGTCTCCTACCCGCGCCTCAGCCATTTCCAGAAGGAATATTATGGCCCACGGACACACAGCCGCCAGCCCACGCTTCACGCCTCCGTTAGCTCAGTGCCTCTGCTTATGCTAACCGCACCACTCGCTCCCCCGGCTCCTTTGGGGGGAGCTGATGACCTCTTCCCTCTTCCCCTGCCCTCCAGGCCTGCTTCCCCAAGGAGCAGAAACAAAACAAATCTAACTGAGAAGCAAGTGAATCAATTCAGAGTTTCTCTAAGCCGCAGAGCTCTGTGGCTGGCTTGGGGCGGGTGGGAAATGAGGTTCTCCCATCGGAAACCGAGCGCGTATGCATATTTAATACAGAACAAACTTTCTGGGGATAGAGCACAAACCAATGACGCAAACAGATCCGCCGGCCATTCGTCAGCTCTGCGCGCGGAGGCTCCGGCCCACGGCCCAGCACGGCCAAGATCAGCCTCAGGTTGTGGAGGTGAGGCCGCTGAGGGCCTGACCACCAGACGTCCATCGCTATGCCGCTGGCCTGGGGGGCTAGGGCCTGGGGAACCAGAGAAGCCCCTGGGGTCTTCTTGCTCTGCTCTGACCTCGAGACTAAGACCCCAGCCCCCAGGCCCTGCAGGATGTAACCTTGCCTGCGTGTCTCCCCAGCCCTCCCCCACCCTTCGATGCCCCACAGCCCCTGCCTTCTCTCCTGCCCGCCAGCCAAGCCCTTCTGGTCCCAGGGCCTTTGCACCTGCCACCCCTTCTGCCTGAAAGCCCTGCCGTGGGTTTTGTTTCTGGCTCCTTGTCACCCAGGCCCTCCTTTCAGGGGTCCTGCCCAGCAATACCGCCTCTCACAACCTAGACCCCTACGCGCTTTTATTTTCTTCAGAGCATTTTCATTTTTTGAAATTCTTTCTGTCTGGTTGTTTCAAGTACCACCTGAGAGGTGGCCTCCAGGAGGAAAAGGCTGCCTCTGTCTTTGGTCCCCGCTGCACCCCTCCTGCACCCCTCCATGCCAAGAACAGAGTAAGAGCTCAGCAAACACTTGAGATGATGGAGGGAGGGAGGGAGGCAGGGAGGGGAGAAGAGCGCGGGAGAGGGGGAGGGAGGGGGGAGGGGCATACCACCTCGGGTTCCATGTGACCTCACCGCCATCAACGGTTGTAGGATTCTTGGGGATGACCAAGGACAGGGGAATAAAAATCATAAAAATGATCGAGATCAACGTGCATGCAAGCACAGGCATGTGTGCATACATGTGTGTGCTCCCCAAAATCCAGAGCCCAGAACCACAGCCAAGACTGAGTTCCGTTCTCACGCTGTCCTAGGCGCCGCCCCGAACACTGTAGATGGTTCGGTAACCCCAGTCTCACGCACAACCTCCGAAATACGCTCCTACCCGGACATGACAGGTAAGGAAGCCGGGGCTCAGCGAGGGTGGGTGCTCGCTGGAGGGCACACGGTGTGGATGCCACTCCTTGGCTCGCCTCCCAGGATGGGCCCACCCGCACCCGCTGCGGGCACCTTGGCCTTGCCCCCCTGTGATCCTGGCTCAGCTGCTCGAGGCCCACATCGGGGGCTCAGGGACCAGGAGTAAGATACTTCACGGGGCTCTGGGGACCCGTGAAAGGCAAGCAGCCCCTAGAGCTCCCCAACACGCCGGGCCACCGCTCCAGCGCTATTTCTCAGGATTTTATGACCTGGCTTGCGGACGGCATCTGTTGCTCAGCGGAGGTGTGAGGCCTGAGGGAAGAGAAAAACGGGGGGTGTGGGGGGGGAGCCAGCCCGGCACATACGGGTGGGGGTGCAGCTGCAGGAAAGAACAGCTCCCAGGAGGGGAGAGGGGTTCAGACACACATGGTCACTCCCACTTTCTGCAGCAGCTCGACCCCCCAACCCAAGAGTGTCTACCTGCACAAAGCCCAGAGCCCCAGCACCCTAAGGGTTAAGTCCCTTCCCAGCAGCTGTCACCTGCCCCTCCCCCTCCACGGGGTAATGAGGGAAATGTCAGCAGAAGCAATTGCTGGGAGCCCTACAGAGAAACTGCCCTATTGAGTTTTTTAAATTAAATCTATTTATAATTTATACCCTGCCTGCTTCCAAAAAGGATTTGAGGTGGTTTACGATAAACGACACGTAAAATGGAAAGAAAGAGAAAAATCAAGAACACCTCGCAGGAGGAGGGAGCAGAAAATCTCCCACAGACGCAGGCCAAGGGAAATGGTGACAGACTCGATGTTCCAGCCAGGCTCCCTGCGTCCTGGCAGCTGAGGCAAAAAGGAAAACAGTTGCATGGTCCCACCTCTCTCTCAGTGACTCCGGGAAACTTGCTGATCTTCAGAGCAACTAGGTTGACTGGCTGCACCTTCTCAACCCTTTCTAGCCTGCTCCTCTGTCCTCCCAGCTGCCTGACTCCACACAGGGCCACAGGGCCTCTGGCACAAGCCTCCCCCCGGCCCCCACCGCCTCGTTGGTATTACCTACGGGCCCCTGGGCTGCCCCGTGGAGGTGCCATTGTGCCCAAAACAGGCCCCCTTCTTCAAAACACCTCAGTTTACCACCTTCACCCCCTTCCAGAACACCTATTGAAATAGACTCATCTCCTGACCTCTGACTCTAGATGTGACCCAAGATGGCCCATCAGAGTCAACCCTGGAACTTTCCAAGGGAAAGAGATCCTCTCTTCCACTGTGACTGCTGAACTGGGGGAATGTGGGCATGGAGCTGCTTTGCAGCCTCTGGAGGAAAGCAGGACAGAGACATGGTGAGAAAGGATCCTAGTGACATCATTTGAGCACCTGGATCCAGCCACTCCTGCAGCTGACTACTCCTGCACTTTTCTGGTAAAGCAGCTAACAATGTCCCTTTTTCTACCTTGCACCTATTTGAGTTGGGCTCCATCTCCTTGTACATAAAATCCACCTGGCTAAACACACCTGCTGCATCTACAGTTTGGAAGCTTCACCATCCTGGTCCCACTGTCAATTGGTTTTACCTAAGTGGCCCTGTGGGTCCCTGATTCCAAGCCCAGGCCTGTTGACTCCTTGGTCTTTGGCCAGTGAGCCTCCTCTTCTCTCTCTCCCACCTCTTGCTCCCGTGTCTGCTCACTGGACCCTGGGTTTCTCCACCTGTGGCCAACTGAGCTTCCTCTCTGTCTCTCCCTCTGTCTCTCCACAGCCTCCTCGTCTACCAAGCTCATCTCCTTCCCCCACTTCCACTAAGCAAGCCCCGTGACCTTTGGAGCCCCCTGACTCCTGACTTCCACACTTTCTCCCAATCCCAGCTTCTCCCAGGCCCAACTGGAGACCACAGGAAGCACAGGACAACTCACACCTGTGCCAGCCTCCTGCCCAGCTGTGACAGAGCTCACCTTGCGCGATCCTCATAACAAGCCTGCAGGAGAGTCTTCTTTGCCTCCTTTACAGGTGAGGCCTGAGGCTCAGAGTGAGGCCAGAACCCCAGGCCACACAGCTGGGCAGGTGACGCCAGCGTCTAGCTCCCAAGCTGACCTTGTACCTTGCACCCTTGTCCTCCCCCAGCGCCCGTGAGCCTTTCCTTCTTCAACACTGGAGGGCTGGACACACCTAGGAAAGTGAGCTGGGCCTGCTCTGACCCCAGACAGATGCGCGGCTCTCCACAGCCCCAGCCTCTCCGGTGCACAGCACATGTGAGACAGGGAGCACCAGCTACTCACGCTCATGCCCTTGCTGCAGCGGCTGTTCTGGAAGGTTCATTGCTTCCTTCTTCCCTGGCTGACACATAGTGCTTTCGATCTATGAAAATACCAATTAAAATGACAAGGTATAGCCCTTTGCAGCCATGAGACTGACAGAGACTATGAGTTTTGGTACCACCTGATGAGGACACGGATGAGGGAAAACCCTGTCTCTGCCTGTCACCGGGACCACACACGCCATTACCTTGATGGGGACAAACGTGTGACGCTTGTAAACCCCTGAGTAGGCGCCTGTGTCACCTGGCTGCTCTGTGTCCTCGGCGTAGTGCCCGCAGGAAGAGCGGGCGATGGACAGCTGTCAGCCCAGCGCTGAGCCGCGCAGACGGCCCGCGGGGGAGCGCGCGAAACCTGGAAGCACGCAGGGAAAGCACCGCCTGGATGGAAAGGACCACCCCCACCCCACCCCACCCCGCGGCACCTGCCGCTTCTGAGGTCCTGGACATGCCTGGGTGCCTTTAGGGTTCTTTCTCGGGAACTCTTCCAGCCTTCCCTTTTACCCTCCCTTTAGGACATGGTCAACAGCTGAGCCACGGCCCCACCGTCACCACCCCACCCTCGCTGAGGCTTACTCCGGGGGCTCCCAGGCCAAAGTGCTCAAACCTAGCCCCCAAGAACTCCCAGTCTAGGGGGATACCAGCCCGCACCCCCAAACAGGCCATTTCTTGCTGAGGCTGATGTGCTGTGGTGGGGATATCTACCATTCTATCCTCTGGGGAGAAGATTCTAGAAAAGCCTGGGGAGACCCAAGTTGTGGACACCCACAATTACTTGGAAGGCTGGTTAAAGGCCCCCAGTCCAGGGCCTGGCCCAGATCTGCTGAGTCAGCATCTCCCTGGTGGGGTGCTCGAGAGGAGTGTCCTCTACTCTGGAGGGTTTGGGGGGCACTGCCGTCAGCACCACAGTCCCCAGGCTCCTCCCTGAGGCACCTGCCACTTCTGAGGTCCTGTCTCCCATTGCCAGGCTCCAAACAAGACCCCAGGCCTGCTCCTCCACCACACGGGCCCCGGAGACACAGGCTCACGTCGGCGTTCCTGGCTGCTGGGCCCACAGAGGTACTTAAAAAAAATTAATGCCCCAAGTTGGAAAACTTTTGAGCCAGACGAGGGGCCCTGGCCTCCAGCCAGACCACGTTGCCCAGCAGGGATCGATAACCTGTAGCTGGGAATGATTTGGGTTCGGGAAATGAGCGTGACTTTGGATCAGAGCTGTCAATTAGCCCGTAGCCCTGGCCGCTGCCGGCAGGCCTGCTTGCTCAAGGAGGTGGTCTGCTTACGAAGGTTACGAGGCTGTTATGTGCCAAGCTGCGCCCTCCGGCCTCTCGCTGGGCCATTTAGCTGTCTAAATCAAGACATCTCAGTCTGCAGCGCCGTCAGGAGTTCACGCACTGGCTGCTTTCCTCTCTTGTAATCTAAATCTAATTTATTGGCCCAGGGACGTAGGGAGAGCCTACGCAGACCAGTGTGCAGCGAAGAATATAATATACAACGTTCCCGTGTAATAAGGCTTTTTATAGAAGGCATTAAGGAGGGCCTGGCTCGGAGCGCGACGAAGCCGTGATTAATTCTGCCTGGAAAATATCTCCGTGGCAGACCTCGGGGGGCTCCGCGGGGACAGGACAGGGGCCCAGGCCTCCGAATCCTCACGCCAGCTTTCCATCTGGGTGGTTTATAAGATTAGGTGTGCTGAAGCCCCCTGAGGGCAGGAGCGGGTTTTATAGGCCCCGTCTCACCATGATGAAAGATGTGTAATAAACTCTCATTGAATTAATCTGGATGGAATTGAAGCAAAAAGTTATTTTTCATGCACTTGCTGTGACTTGGGGGGTGAGTGGCTTCCTCAGCGGATGAAGGGCAGAGATGGAGAATGGGGGGGCAGGTGGGAAGCACAAATGCCCAGTCCCTAGCCCAGCAGCAACCTCTCCCCCACTCCCCCATCCCCCACCGCCCAGAGGTCTCTGCCCAGCAACTGGGGAGAGGCAGCCCGTCCAGAGTTCACGCACTGCCAGCGAAATACTTTCTTTTAAAAAATTTTACTCCACTGATAAAATTTAAAATCAAGAAATGGCTCATTAAAAACTCCAATTTCCAGTTTCTACTCCAAACTGGAAGATCTGGCCACCTCGGCCACTTTCCCCCTGGCATGAGCCATCAAGAGGCCACGGTCTCCACTCTTCCCTTATCTCCACACCTCTGTGGCTCCCCTTGTTGGCTGGACCTCCCTGGCCCCTTTGGGTCCCTAGCCAGGCACCATGATGCTATGAGAGCTGGTCCCTGAAGCTCCTGAGGGAGGTCAGGTAGCCAGGCTCTCGGTCCTTTTGCTACAGGCCACAGCTCCTGCCACGCGGCCCCCACGGGCCGCCTCTCTAGGTTGCGGTCCCAGCCCTACCCCCTCCATGTCAGGCCCAGTGTGAGAAAGTGCCCCGTTATTACCAGTTCCTGTTGCTTGTCCCCAACTCTGACGACACCACCCAGCTTTTAAAGTGTTGCCTCATCAAGCCTCAGCATTCCCCTTCCTGCCTGGACCCCTTGTGCGGCCTGACCCATAGAGGATGCTCGGCGCAGAGGTATTGAGCAAGTCATATGTGGTCTGGGATTCTCCCCAAGACTGGGTGCTCCACAGGGGAGCTGTCCCAGGGAACCCCCCCCCACCCATCACCTGGGCTCCCAGAAATCACACTACATCCCTTTCCCAGAACCCACTGGGCCATTTCCAAAGCAAGTCCAGGGCACAAACAAGCAGGGTTTTAAATCATGTCGGGACATGGGCCCAGCTCAGGCCTGCTCTCCGGGAGCCAGCACAGCTGTCCAGGGGCCTCCCCACTACAGGCCAGGTGTGGTCCAAGGATGGCCGGGGTGAGTGACAAGCTGAGGCCAGCGACCCCAGCTCCCTTGTCTGCCTGAGGGATTTCCTGCACCTCTGAGGACAGAATAGAGACCGGGCACCCTTCCCTGCCCTGTGGGTGCCTGGGGGGCTTGCTCCAGAGCAGGGTGAGTCTGTTGGGTGCCCCAGCTTTGCCCTCCACCCATGAGCTGCACCCCTAAGCTTGCCACATGGGCACAGCAAGTTCACGGTGTGTGTGTGTGACCTCAGGTTCACAGAATTAACGGGCTCCAGACAGCAGGGCCCTGCCCAGCCACAGAGTTAGCGGGATGAAGGGTCACAAGACCATGAATTCGGAGGGGCCAGCCCGGCCGGCCTCAGGGAGGTGGGGGGCCAGCCCACCTTGAGAATTGTTTCAAGGGCGACTCCGAGGGACTGGCTATGACGGGCAGGGGAGACAGATGAGCCTGTTTTCCGTTTGGGCCTCTGGCCGAGTTCTCACGCCCCTCGTGCCCGCCCGGACAGACCGAGTGCTTGTTTCTTAAAATAGAAGTCCATGGTCATGAAAACAGGTTCATGACGGGAGCAGGCGAGGCCGGCCGGCCAGCCCCAGGACGCACGCTCTGGGCGGGGACAGGGAGCCCTCGCGGGCAGCGCCAGGTCCTTCTTCCCGCAGGAGCAAGCACTGCGGCGGTTTGCAAGGACTCCCGAAGCCCGGGCGGGTGGGAGGCCAGGCCCACAGTGCATCCCGGACGTGGGATGGAAGAGCCTGGAGAGCCTGGCACGTCCACGGCGGGCAGGGTCCTGAGCGGGCAGGGGCCTCCCGGCGCCACGGCGACCTTGCGGGCAACAAGGGGTTCACACCGCCCTGCCTCCCGGGTGGGATGGAGAGACCCAGAGACACGGCTCTCTGAGGCCCTGCAGCCCCTGGCTGGCAGCTTGTGATCTGTATCCCATCCTCCTCCTCTTAGTCACTCCAGACGGGTCTCTGCTGGGGAGGAAGCTTGAGCTTCGCCTGCCACGTGCTGGTGAGCGTGGGGACGTGGGTCTGTGGGCACAGGGCCCCTCTGTCCTGTGAGGAATCATGCTGAGCGATCCTGCCTTCTGGGTTGTCCTGGGACAGGAGTGGTACCTTCCTGCAGAGGGCCAGGTAGCAGATATTTTCAGGGACCTGTTGCATGGAGGCGACTCTGCCGTTGTGTCGTGGAAGCAGCCGTGGGTCAGACACAGACAGATGGGCATGGCGGTGTCCAATAAAACTTCTCAAACCAGGGTGTCCCTGGTGGCGCAAGGGGTTGAGCATCGCACTGTGGGGCAGTCCACAATCTCTGTAGTGTGGGTTCAATTCCTGGCCGGCCGGGGAGCAGCCCACATGGCGCAGCAGACCTCTCCTGGCTCGCCCACCGCTTCCCTGAGCAGTGTACTTCGGTCAGTCTGCCTGTTCTGTTCCCCTCTCTGTCTCTGGTGAATCTTCTCGCCCTCCGCATCTCTGGCCTGTGTCCCAGCTCTTATATGCATAAATAAATAAAAATCTTTAAAAAGAAACAGAACTTCTCGAACCAGGCCTGGGCGGGCTGGGCCTGTGGGCTACCATTTGTCGACCTCTGGTCTAGGACGGGGAATGAAAATTCTTTAGGTGCACATTTTACCTCCATTACCAGGTGTCAGATTTGTACACATCAAAGCCATCAGGAAATGGGCAGTCGGAGCCGTCGGTGTGTTGTTTCCAGGGTTTTCTGTGAGAAGATTATACGACAGAAAAAATGTGATGGCCCCTGGGGAGGGAGACCAGAGGGTCTGCTGAGTCAACATTAAGCCTTCAAACTGCCGTGTCCATGAGGAGGTTTTCTTCCTTCCTTCTTTTATCATTTTTCAGGAAGAACCGACTGCTCCTTCTGGCAGGGATTGGGACAGGGGCCGGAGCAGGGAGAGACCAGCCACCCCCTCCGCCTGCTCTGGCCGCCATCTTGGAGCGCCGTCTCTCCTGGGGACACGCTGGC